CCATTGATTACATCACAGATAAGCTGTAGATAATACCCATTTATTACATTACAGGTAGGCTGTAGATAATACCCATTTATTACATCACAGATAGGCTGTAGATAATACCCATTGATTACATCACAGATAAGCTGTAGATAATACCCATTTATTAGATAAGCTATAGATAATACCCATTTATTACATTACAGGTAGGCTGTAGATAATACCCATCTATTACATCACAGATAAGCTATAGATAATACCCATTTATTACATCACAGGTAGGATGTAGATAATACCCATTTATTACATTACAGATAGGCTATAGATAATACCCATTTATTACATCACAGGTAGGATGTAGATAATACCCATTTATTACATTACAGATAAGCTGTAGATAATACCCATCTATTACATCACAGATATGCTATAGATAATATCCATCTATTACATCACAGATAGGCTGTAGATAATACCCATTTATTACATTACAGATAGGCTATGGATAATACCCATTTATTACATCACAGGTAGGCTGTAGATAATACCCATTTATTACATTACAGGTAGGCTGTAGATAATACCCATTTATTACATCACAGATAGGCTGTAGATAATACCCATTTATTACATTACAGATAGGCTGTAGATAATACCCATCTAATACATCACAGGTAGGCTATAGATAATACCCATCTATTACATCACAGATATGCTATAGATAATATCCATCTATTACATTACAGGTAGGCTGTAGATAATACCCATTTATTACATTACAGATAGGCTATAGATAATACCCATTTATTACATTACAGGTAGGCTATCGATAATACCCATTTATTACATTACAGATAGGCTGTGGACAATACTCATTTATTACATCACTGATAGGCTGTAGATAATACCCATTTATTACATTACAGATAGGCTATGGATAATACCCATTTATTACATTACAGATAGGCTATGGATAATACCCATTTATTACATTACTGGCATCTAATAAAGTGTGATATAAGGTGTTGAAATAATTTAATTATCTCTGGAATTTAATTTATATATTTTTTTTGTAAACTTAAAAATAAATTGGAGGTTCCTCAACAAAAACATCATTTTGTTTCAGATAAACTTAGAATAAAATATAAAATTCTGATAAAAGATGAAATTAATATTTTACTTATTTTTATCTAAGATGTAACAGTAATGAAAATAAATAGTTTTATTCAGTGTTTTTAATCAACATATACCGAAGATAAGTCAATGTTAACGTTTTAAACCATAAACTCCGTTTATGATTTGTATGTTAAACATTATATAAGACGAACACTTAAACACTGCGATATATATATATATATATATATATATATAT